TTCTTCAACTCACCTTTATATAATGGCCAAACCTTGTGCAAATACTTTAAACCTAAACTTCTGATGAGAAAACAAATCAACAAGCATTGATGTCAGCAGCAGTTTTTTGTTGGTTTTTTTTTTTTTTTTTTTTTTTTTTGAGCTGAAAGCTAGTCAGTTATAGACACCATCCCTTCAGCATGCTTTAGGGTTTTAAGCACATAAACTTCTTGGAACAGCAGGTTTGAATCTGGGCAGGACTGAAACGACCTTTCATCCCTCTGAAGGTGGAAATACTGAATTTAGTGCAGTTTAATCTGTATGTGCATGTAGGGTTTTTCAGATAAGAACATAAAAAACAACTGTAAAGAGTTCCTGCATACCATCCACTTCCAGTGAAAGATGCCAGGGTGCTATTGTAATGCCACAAATTTGGTAGTTTTGACAGAATACTTCTCTCTGTTTCTAGAATGCATTCTTGTAGTGTGCCTTGATACAACTGGTTGCAGCTGTCTACCCATATGTGGAAGCACTTTGTTAGTTGTGTATGTCCTTGAAGGGACCCTTCAGGGATGAAAGGCATATTGTAATCTTCCTGCCTTACAAAATCACTTTTAAACACCTCTCAATTTGGCTGGATTTGGTCAGCCAGCTTTCCTATCTTGTGCAATGTGAAAGAAATCATGTTAAGCAGGAATGATGTTCTGGTTTAGACCCGCTTCTGTGAATTACCTTTTTATGGATTAAAACAAAATGGAGAAGGGGGAACAAGGATAAGCAAACTCAGACTTAGCTTTTCCAGCAAAGTTCCTAACCATGGGAAAATGGGTTTTCCCACCTACTATTCTGCACCTTATATGAAAGAGATTGGAAAATTGTTTGACCAAGATTTTTACCCACCTAAGTCTTCTGCAAAGTATCTACTCCAAGGCAATGGTGCAACTTCAAATGCTTGTGGAGTTTAATGTGGTGCAAGACATATCTCCCTCAGGGACCAAGTCTATCTTCCCAAAATGTTGTTAGTCATGGCCAACCTGAGGCATAAAAGTGCTGAGCTGAGAATTTGTTTTTCTTTCTTCTCCCTCCCTTTGGGAGAAGATGTTTTCTTTGATGACAATTTGCAAATGAGTCACTGTCTAATGCTATCAGCTGTATTTTTTGTTAAAATCACTGTTACAATGTGTATTGTTCTGTGGGTAAATATACTATATATGGCCATGAATAATGCCAGGTAGTTAAACATTGTAAGAGACCTTTGCAGGCATGAAGAGCTGGGTGCTGGGTATGTCCCTGTGACAGAGCGATATTCTCTTAGCTCTGTGTTGTGTAGAACTTTACTAATCTGAGCCAGTCAAGTAGCCAAATGAGCTCTTTTAAAATACGCAGCACTTGTGGCTGCGTATTGCAGCCCATCATCCTTCCCATACTGGGAAGGAGGACAAGAAACTTGGAAGTTGCCATCTTTGGCCTGTGTGGATAGAGGTGGGAGTGAAGAGATGGTACTAGCTTGTTCTCTTGTCCATAAAAGAGAGGGGAGAGAAAGACTATTGAGGGTGGGGGGGGAAAGGGAAGGTGGATGCAGATATATTGTGGGGGCGGTGAGGGAGGGGTGTGGAATCTCACCAGCTTTGGGGCTGTTGTCCCCGAAGGGCTTGGTGTGGTGATGACTCCCGCTGGTGTTAGCAGCAGAGGCTGTTAGTTCTTCTGGGTGAAGGCATGACTGCTGTGGGGGAATTGAAAATGTGTGCGGGAAGCTGAGAGTGAGTGGAATCTGGTTTTCAATTTCAAGCACGGGGAACCTCGCTAATTCGCACTAACTATAAGAGCAGGTGCAATCTACCAAATTTTGCGAATTAGCGAGTAAATAAAATCAAGACATACCCACTGCAAATATACTTATTTGTTTTCGCAAGTGTAGCTTAGCCTTGTTTCTGATGCTACCATAGCATACTAATATCCTGTAGTACACTTGTAATTCAGTGAAGTCTTACTAACATGAGACGTCACTATGTGTTTTTAAGTAGTTCAGCAAAGGGAGAATTAGCGAGGTTCTTCTGTAACTTTGTTGAGTCAAAGAAATGAGATCACAGCAATACAATATTGCTTTGTAGTACAAACATACAAAACATTGTTTTTCAGAGTAGTGTGCAATCAATTTTTAAAAAAAAAAATCTCCGTGGATTTTTCCGCAGATTTTCCGCAGATTTCCAGTGGCCCCACTGATACCTTATCCACTCATCACCAAGGTTCGTTTACATTGTAGGCTTTGACAATGACTATGTTTACTGCTAGTTGCCAGATTTGTGACTCTTGTCCATCTGATTTTTTTTTTTCCACTCATTAACATCAGACTGTCAGGTTTGGTACTGCAGAAGGACTTTATTTATCTCTTGCAAGACTGGTTGAAAACTTCTAACCTTCAGCTTTTCTCTTGTTCTCCTGTGTCTGTACAGATGGCTGTTAATGCTTTTACTCCTGTCCCCCTTGTTTTTTAGGAGGATATAAATGCTATAGAAATGGAGGAAGACAAAAGAGACCTGATATCAAGAGAGATCAGTAAATTCAGAGACACACACAAGGTAGTATTCTTGTTTTTGCACTTGATACAAATTAGGCTTTTTCAAAATCCAAAAAAAACCACTATTATAAAATTTAGCAGTACATTGCAATATCACTTAAAACTATGTTTGTATTAGGTTTAATATACATATAGTTCTTTACAAGTCAGAAAAAGACAGTTGCCACGTTAAAGTGGCCCATGACATCTTTATGCTAAGACTTTGATTGCTACTGAGTATTTTTCAGTCTTCTTACTTCAGCATGAATAAAGGCAGCTTAAGTTGCTACACATACATTAAGTCAAGATATTTATAGGTGAAGGCTAAACGGGGCTTCAGTATAAGACATACACTTGAGTGTTTTCTCTAGGTAGATTTGTAACATTATCCAAGATTTTGAAGAGATGAAACGTGAATTAAATTAAAGTCTTTTATTTTAATAGTTCTAAGTTAAGAGTGGGGGAAGATTAAAACTAGGTCAGTGGTTACCAGACTTACCAAACTTTAGATGCATGGAAGAACTGTAAATTCCCATAAAGCTAATCTATTCATTGACCCCCACCATTATGATAGAGATCATATGGTGACTAATGCAAGATGAAACTCACAGCTTGGAAAGTAACATGGAATAGGATGTAAGTATGAGTTTCTGTTTTTTATTATACTTATGGATGCCCCCTCAGAAAAATATGCAAAGGGGTAACTGGCTTGGAAATGTTTGTGCACATCAAGTCCCACCCCAGAGTCCCCACTTACAGAAGTTTCCACTAATGCTAGTGCAAATGTGAATGTTTCTGCTTTGGAAAGTGATACTTGCGGATCGGAGAGCACAGCTATGCATGTGATGTTCTTATTTTAATGTTTAGCCTAAAGTTGGTATTGATTTTTCCCCAACAAGATTGGAATGGTCCTTGGCCTAGGGAAGTATCAACAAGCTGCTCTTTTGAGCACACACTTTTCTTTCAAAATACCCCCAAATCAACAGTAAAGAAAATGTTGAAGATACAGCAAGGTGAAACGTGCCCATGTTGTTCAGCTTTACCACATGCAGTCACTGGGGATGGTACCATGTTTTCATGCAACCGTATCAATATGAACACAGGTGACTACATGTTAATGTATGTACATGTTTTCAGTTTTTCTCTTGACTAAAGTTTTGCAAGATAGAACCTGAGGGGAAAAAAATCTAGAAAAAGTCAACTGAAGAAGCTCAGCAATTGAATGTGAAACTGGTTAGTGGTGAAACTTCAGTAGAATTATGTTCAACTCCAAGCCCCAAGTTGTCACTGATACTAAAATGCAAACAAGTAATGCTTTTTTAAAATTGCAAACAAAACAAAAAAATCAAGCTTCACTGTTTCAGAAGCTGTTGGGCATTTCACTGCCCTTGATTTGTATTTTTGGGGGGCTATTTTGGATTTCTTAACATTAAAAATCAACTGGAAGTAGTCATTGTGTATATTGGACATGTTTAAAAGGGGCTGTTGAATCCTTAGCAGCGGGCTAGTGAGCACAGTGAACCTTTGCATGTTTTTGGTATGAGTTTATAAACAATAACGAGAGACTGTCAGGGTATCAGCATTGCAGGGGGCGTCCATTTACAGCACGGACGAGTCTGAAGAGAGCTCAAGGTAAGATTTATAATTCTTCTACCTGTTCATTTCTGTTCATTACTTCAGTTTATCTGATACTGTTCCCATCCCATTACCCTGTCAGATCCTTCTATTTAGGTTTACAGAAGTTGACTGAGGTCAGATTTTCATTATAAAATACACCAGTTATTTTTTCAATTGGATTTTAAGGAAGTGGACTTAAGAATATAACAGAATTTGTGCATGTGTATTTGCACTTCTGTGAATATATTTTTAATAAAAGAAAGAAACCCACTCTCTTGAGAAATCTCACCATAAATCACGTTTTTGAGAGTGGTGAAAAAGCAGGAGTACAACTAAAGAAATTTCTATTGGAACATCTAAGATAACCTGTAAGTATCAACCACTTCAGTATGTAAACTTTCTTTAAAAGTATATGAAATTTGAGGTAAGTTGTTTTTAAAAGTTGACAGCCTAGTTTAACATTTGACCCTACTGAGGTTTAACACTGTAAAGCTCCTAGATAATACAGTCATTAGAAATAAGTTTTTCAGCCCAATGTGTATTATAGGATCTAAGTTTTTTTTTTCCCCCCACATCAGTTTCCTACCATTTTTAGTGCCTTTTTCCTTTGTGATTTCAATGTATCCAACATGGGTTTGCCTGTATTGTGTTATCAATGCAGCATAGTTTCACCGGATACATTAATCACTAGTGAATTAGCTTTATTTCTGTAATCCTTTGTCGGTTCTCTGGTCCCTGTGCCTATGGCAGAAGAACACTAATCAGGTAAGATTGCTTTTTAAAGTTGTCTTAAATACTTTGTTTAAAAGAAAAGAACAAAAAAACCCACAAACCAGAGAAAATGCTGTTTCATTGTTCCAGTTTTTAATTTCATTTCAGTGTTGGTAAACGTGGAGCCAAAGGGGATAAACCTGTTTATTCTGCTCAATATTTGTTCAAAAAATGGTGTTCTTGCATCCATCAGGTTTAAATTTGGTATATTTGGTTGTTATTTGGTATATTTGTGAACGTGTACTTGCTCTTCCTCCCAGAAACATAGCTAATAGGCAAGGTTAATCCAGTGTTGGCGGTCCATGTCCTAGCACAGCATCTGTAAGTGAACACATAACAATTGCTTCCAAGGATGGATTTATCTATCATTCTGTTGATGTATTTTCTATTGTCTTATAGGAATTCTGATAATAAGAACTGTTTCTATATGAAAAAAGTGGCACTTTTGTACAATTTTTAGTAAAACTGTAGCAGGTAACCTTTAGTTTCTGTGTTTCAAAAGAGCTATTTCCAACCTTTTTTTAACTGTCTCCATCTTGCAGTGGTGGAAGTTAAGATTCCATTCTGCAGAATCCCATTCTTACCAATGAACACTTAGAACTTTTTAGGGAGGGAAAAGGGGAAAGTGACAGTTTTCTTCACTGTTTAACCACATGCACCATGTGTAAGTGGATATATTTCTTTACCCAAGTTTTCATTTAAGATGGTTGTGGTGTGCCAAGACTTTTTGGGAAACAACTTACTGTCCCAGTAAGCATTCCACTGAAATATATTTTCCTAATTGAACAGAGTTAATTCTGGAAGTTCACTTTAGTTGTACCCAACTGGCTTGTGGGGCCAGTGGAATTTGAGTCCCACCTGAGTCATGACTGGTAGTGCACACTGAATGTGCAGTTTAGTCAGCTCATAATAGAAGGCCAGCCCTACTCTGCTAAGGTTGGAGATTGCTGGTCTGTGTAGATCTGTGCTTTTGCACGAAACTTAGTCTTGTGATTGCTGCATTTTGATTTCATACTTAGAAGTTCCAAAAAATACCCACCAAACCCTATTTAATACTTAAAAATTAGTGGCGGTTTTGGTATTTCCATTACCAGCCTTGTGTGTTGCGTCGGGAATATCCAGTTTGTGTAACTACAAAATTAACTATGAAAGTTCTCTTGTTGGTTTTTAGAAACTGGAGGAGGAAAAAGGCAAAAAGGAGAAAGAAAGACAGGAAATTGAAAAAGAACGCAGAGAAAGAGAAAGGGAACGGGAGCGTGAACGAGAAAGGAGGGAGCGTGAAAGAGAGAGGGAACGTGAACGAGAGAAGGAGAAGGAACGGGAGCGTGAACGGGAGAGAGATAGGGACCGTGACCGAACTAAGGACCGAGACAGAGACCGCGAACGAGACAGAGACCGTGACAGAGATCGTGAAAGGAGTTCAGATCGCAAGGATCGGAGCAGATCAAGGTAAATGCACTTTTTCTAGGGCTGTTTACTAAATGTATATAGTTCAGTAAATCTGCTGCCATTCAAGAGAACGATCCTTGTGGAAGATCAGAGTAACAGCAGGAAATCCAGACTGGGAGAGTACTTGATTTGCCCCACAGTACAAGAATATAAAAACTGCAATATGCAGTAAGCAACTCTCCAGTTATGATTTAAGTATACTGGTTATATCTCAAGTATCTCCTATTTTTCATTATTAGCTTTGTTCCTGCTAAAGGTTATTTTATGTTTGTGGTATTTCTTAGCTTAAGCAGGTGTTACCATTTCCTTTGTTACATGGTGGGCTTCTTGATTGGATTTTGGAGGATTTTATTTGGATTGTGGGATTTTTTTTTTGGTAAAAGCAAGGGGATTACTCTTTCCAGCTGTAATTAATCATGTCATATTTCAAGTGCTGCTTTCACATTAAATCATCTTGTCAGAAGTGTTAAAATTGTCTGTAAGCCAGATAAACATCAAAGATTTGTTAAGGATACCCTTCATTTCTGGTGGTTTGCGCTGTGGAGAACTGCTAACACAGTCTCATAAGAAATGGCCATATGCTTAATGTTTAGTTTCTGTAGATATTGCTATTTAATGGTTAATGTTCAAACAACTACTTTTTGTGGGTTTTTGAATGCCCATCAGTAAGTATTGATCTTATGCCCATTTCTATACCAGCTAATCATCTTCTACAGCTACAGAAGGAAAATAACCTTTAAATCACTATTAATCATTTGAAAGGAGAGGAAGGCTGTCTAATGAACTTTGGGGATTTTTCTTCCTTCAGAGAAAAAAGCAGAGACAGGGAAAGAGAACGAGAACGCGAGAGGGAAAGAGAACGAGAACGCGAGAGGGAACGGGAAAGAGAACGGGAACGGGAAAGAGAGCGAGAAAGAGAGAGGGAAAAGGATAAGAAGAGAGACCGAGAAGAAGATGAAGAAGATGCCTACGAACGACGAAAACTGGAGAGGAAACTGCGTGAAAAGGAAGCTGCATATCAAGAGGTAAGTTGGAATTTTTAAGGTTCTTTAAATAAAAAGAAGTTTCTGAGAGTTGATAATAAATCCTCTAGTATAAAATGCATCATTCTCTCTTTCCTAAATATGTTTTTTATCCTTTGAGTACATGAGCTAGAGTAGAATATGTAAGTCACTGTCAAAACAGACTTTTTATTCGGACGTTTTGAATTAAAATTATGCAAATTATTTATAGTACAATTATTTTAAACAACAATCCAAACTAACTTTGTAATACTGCTATTCTTAATGTTCTTGAGGATTGAAGTGTATTTTCTTCTGTTGCAGCGTCTTAAAAACTGGGAAATCAGAGAACGAAAAAAAAGTCGAGAATATGAAAAAGAGGCTGAGAGGGAAGAAGAAAGAAGACGGGAAATGGTAAGACTTATCGTTTGACATGTAATTTCCCCTTCCTTGTTCTCCTGGTCCCATTTAGAATGGAATTTTCTACTGTTATGTTTACGGACAGTAATGGAGCTCTCATTTTGTATAAAGGCCATATATGTTTTTATACCTAAAAAATTCCCAGTTAATAGACTTGAAACAGAAGATGTCTAGTAAGTGGGAGTAATATTTAACATCTGAAAAACAAAACCTAGTGGTTTGGCCTTGTGAAGGCAGAAGAGTGAGAAGTAGGCAGCTGCAGAATACTGTGGTCTGATCATCGCTTACTATTACGTCTGTAACTTGTGTCAGATTTGTGACAAAACCTACTGTGTGTTCTATGTCATGCAGGTAGAACTAGACCTGTTTCTTTAACTTCCAACCTGCTCATGTGCCTAAACCTTTTATGAGATATGATACAATATTCTTTAATGTATCTACACACTTGATAAACGCCTGTCCTTAGTTCATTAGTTGTGAAATTATCACAGTTACCAATGTAACACTTGGAAGCTTTGTTGGAAAAAACACCTTGGGCAGATAGATAATTCTGTAATATCATTTTGTGTTAAAGCATAAAGAAGTTATTTTAAGTTTTAGGGGTGCTATTTCACTTCATAGATTCCCAAAGAAGGAGAGAAGATGTTGAGAGAGTAGAGAATGGGTTAGAAATTTCTTCAAAGCTGTATATGCAAAGAAACACACAGGGGAAAGAGGATTATGAAATATATTGTTTCATGTGGAATCCAGGTGTTCCCTCTAAATACATGAAGGGGAAAAAAAATGTTTGAAATTGACTCAATGATGTTTTCCATTCCAAATCCTGGATGTTGGCTGTGGATGGCAGTTGTAGAAAACAGTGTTTCATTTTGTGCTGAAATTACAACCATAATCGTAATTTGTTTCTCAAAGTTATTAGCACAGAAATAGATTGTTGTTGGTTTAAGGTTATTGCTTAAATACATGTTAGAAGGTCCTAATTTAATTTACGTTAAAGAACTGGGGCTTTTACCTCTTTTATCAGAGGGGGAGAAAGTGTCTCCTCTCTTTCTCCCTCACCCCCTACAGTGTTAGGCTTGTACATTAGTACCACATAAGCCTGTACATGAGTGCCACATGCTTTGTTTCAGAACCACAACAGGAGTGTGCTTAGACTAGGAGCAGCCATCAGATTTGTTTCTGTGCATGTCTGTCTTAAAAAAGCTCTTGAAACAAAGCAGTACTGATAAAATACATTTAGGCTGCCATGTTAAAATACTCAGTAACAGGCTTAAAGGATTTGGTGAAAAGGAACTTTTGATCCACTTCATCTGTAATTTAAAACAAAATAAACCAAATAAATATATTTACGTGGGTGGGCGTGTATGTGTGTATGTATATATATGTATATATATATGCACAGATCAGTGACACAATACCAGTGGACCCTCTGGACACAATACCAAAACTTTTCCATTTTCTGTTTGGAAAAGTCTGTATTTTTAGTTTAAAGCAGAGTAGATCTACAATTAACTTGCTAATAACATTAATAAATTTTAAACTCCTGGAAAGGAAACCAGAAATCATTATTTAAGTTTCGATTCCTGGCAGGCAAAGGAAGCCAAACGGTTGAAAGAATTCTTAGAAGATTATGATGATGACAGAGACGATCCAAAATACTACAGGTATGTCCTTGTATTCCTAACAAAAAGATGCCCATTGTTAATTTAAACACAATTATGGGATTTGTTGGCAGAGGCTTATGGAGTTTCTATTTGACTGGTGATATGATAATGTAAGGTTAATGTTGCAATAATTACCTAATATTTTTTTGTGTCACTTGATAAGTGAACAGAGGGAAAAGGAAAACTTCTTACTTCTACTGGTTAATGCTTGGGAGTAGCTGCTCATTCCTATCACTTTATTTTTGTGAGGCAGGGGCAGAGGTCAATGTAATATCAAAATAAAGTGCTGGGAGCAGGGAGAAGGGAATAAGCATGCCTCTAAATAATTCACTGCAAAGAAGCTTCATATAAATAATATGAAGAACAAGCTTGTTAATGTGAATTATTGGGAACATCCTTCAGCATGGGACTAACTAATGTTTGCATAAAACTAATATAGCAGAAGTGGTTCTGGCCAAAAACCTATAAAATTTAATTCTTTCTCTAAGGAGATCAGCAGCCACATTCTCTACTTCTGTTTAATGTGATGGGGTAGATTCTGTACAGTATGGTTGAGAATTGGTATCTTGAGATTCTAGTGTTACAAATACAGAGGATGCCATGTGCTCTTGGGAATCTTATTTGTGTTTAGTGGGGGATATACCTGCATGAAGTTTTTCTTGTATTGTGGTACAAGGCCCTCATTGAAATGTTCTCTCAATAAAAAATATGTATCTTTTATAGGGGTAGTGCTCTTCAGAAGAGGCTAAGAGACAGGGAGAAAGAGATGGAAGCAGATGAACGAGACAGGAAAAGGGAAAAGGAAGAATTAGAAGAAATTAGGCAGCGTCTTCTGGCCGAAGGACATCCAGATCCAGATGCAGAACTCCAGAGGGTGAGTTGCTGTTGGTCTGAGAGGAAAATGAGTCCTTTGTATTCTGGTTGTATTGAGCAAAATTGTGTAAGAGATCTGATATTTACTCTTTTCTCTATTCACTTTTTCTTGTAAAGAAGTCCAGATAGGCAGTAAGAAAAATGGAAAAAAAAACTTTCCAGATCAACATCCAGATTTTAGAGAGTTTGAAAACAAATTTGAATTAATCAGTATTCCTTACAAGAATGCCAGTAGTTACATGTATTTTTCTTGACTAACAAGGAGAAGGATCTTTAGATTATTTTCAAACAGTGCTGGTTTTGAGAGAGCTTCTATTTTTGCTAATTGCCTGTTTCATTGTAGATGGAGCAGGAGGCTGAGCGGCGTAGGCAGCCACAAATAAAACAAGAGCCAGAATCTGAGGAGGAAGAGGAAGACAAGGCAGAAAAAGAAGAAAAAAGAGAAGAGCCAGAGGAAGAGGAGGAGGAGCCTGAACAAAAGCCCTGCCTTAAACCAACTTTACGACCCATCAGTTCTGCTCCATCTGTTTCTTCAGCTAGTGGAAACGCAACTCCTAACACACCTGGTGATGAATCTCCCTGTGGCATTATTATCCCTCATGAAAATTCACCTGAACAACAACAACTGGAGGAGCATCGACCCAAAATAGGACTCAGCCTCAAATTGGGCAAGTTTACATTTTATTTCAATATTCCATATGGGATCAAAATAAAAATGGTCAAGCTGAGTAGCCACATGGTTTTCCAAATAAGTGGTATGGTTTGGTGTATTTATATCAAGTAGTTGTTATCCAGATGCTTGTGTTGACCTATCCAGAAGATAGACTTTATAGAGTTCTCTTCATCCAAAACCTTGAGGCCAAAAAAGGAAGGAAATTTAGGCATGTTCAAGGGCTAATTTTTGTAGGAATGTTCTGAGCTGGGATTGGTTATTTTCACCTTAATATATCTGTAAATATCTCTTTAAACTTATTGCTACTTTTCATTTGTGTAAGCATGTGTTAAATTTAAGACCTAGGTAATTCTTATGTTTACTTAAAACCCTTTTGAAGAAAAAAAAGTAGATTTTTTTTCTCCCTTTAAGAATATCACAATGAACTGATGACAGTTGTGAGTGAAATTTGAGCCTAGAGTTCCTTTGTACTGTTGCAATTTCCTGCTGTTTTAAAAAAATAAATTCTGAGCAGCAGAACTAAGAACATTTGTATTCCCGAAGGTTTGTGTGGTTTTTATTTACTGTTTTGTTTAAGTTATGCTGGGCTGCACTTTAAACTCACACTGTGTTGTATCTTGAATGATGAGAGACTGTGTGGTATTAGGCTGATTGAATGCATTTCTTACATGTTGCAGGCTTTCACTGTGTGCTCTACCTTTGCTAAGGTTGGACCTCAACTATAGTCTTCCCTCAGAGGGAGTGCTAATTGGTTTCAGGGCAGAGAAAGAAGACCCTATTTTTCAAACGGGTCAATCTTGAACAAACTCCATTAAAAATCTTTACCTCTTTTGCCACTTTTGTAACAGAATTTGAGAGATTAAAAGCCAATGCCAGGCATTCATAGACGTTTATGTAGCATACAACAGTTTCAGTTGCAGTTGATGAGTATGTTACTCTGCCTTTTGGATTGTAGGTGCCTGTAACAGTCCTAATCAGCCCAATGCTGTAAAAAGGAAGAAACTTGCTGTGGATAGTGTTTTCAATAAATTTGATGATGAAGATAGCGACGATGTGCCCCGGAAAAGGAAACTTGTTCCCCTGGATTATGGAGAAGAAGATAAAAGCAATATTAAAGGCAGTGTCAATACAGAAGAAAAGCGCAAGCACATTAAGAGTCTCATTGAGAAGATACCCACAGCAAAACCAGAGCTCTTTGCTTATCCTCTTGACTGGTCAATTGTGGATTCGGTAAGTTCATTCATTTAACCTTTAAAAAGGCTTAATTTTTCCAAGTAAACATTATAGTTGAATAGAAAAGCAAGGTTACTGGGATCCCAATGGATTGGAGCATCATCATTTAGTGGAGTCAGACTTGAGTCCTCTATTTATTGTTCGTACATAATCCTTATTCTGAAGTATGCCTACTTATTTTTGTTTGATGTCTCCTGAATTGCCACTACAAATTATCAAGTAGTTTTATGGAAGGAGGAAAAAAGACACTGTAAAAACATGTTTGAGTGGCTCTCAAAATACTTGTAGATGCCAAATCTCGAAGGGTTGATATCATTGATAGCAAAATGTATCTTCTGCTAAATAGCTGTTTGAGTTTTCTAGATGCCTACTGGGTAATTGTTGCAACAGAGTGATATTTAAGGTAATTATTTATTTTGGTTTTGGTTTTTTTTTTTTCCAGACACTAATGGAACGTCGAATTAGACCATGGATTAACAAGAAAATAATAGAATATATTGGTGAAGAAGAAGCCACACTAGTTGACTTTGTTTGCTCTAAGGTTTGTATCTTCAGCTTTCTCTGAAATTAGGGCTTTGCTCCCTATTTAAAATGCAGCAGTGACTCCTGTACTCATGTTTATAATGGCTTGTCTTGGTTTATCTTTGGGCTACCATATAAGAGGCAAAGCAAGTCCTGAGAGTTCTGTGACACCGTTGATTAGCAGAAAGTCAAAAGCAGAAGTTGAATATTTGCCATGCTTACATTATATACAGGTGTGTGTATGTATGTAATAAGTGGAACTCTATGGTATTGAAAGATAACTTACTTGGTTCTGGGGAAAAAAATTACATACTTAACAGATAGATGAGAAATCCAGTTAGGAGTGATACAGGGAGAATTTTGCCTTTGTCTTCCATTAGCAGCTTATTGTTGAAGAGAAGTTTTCTTTAAATTTAGAAAACATAATTGGAGATATAAGAATAGCCAGCAAATACAGGACCTGTGAATCTCTGGAGCTTCCTGGAACTTACTCCTCAATAATTTGCCATAAACTAGTACTCACTATGATCAATTCTGATGCAGTTTAATACTAGTGGCTCTGGCTATTACTGGAACCTGATAAACTGCAAATACTTCTTGCACCTGTAGAGCTTTCAAATTCCTTGGACATAGCTGGATTTTGTCCAAAAACTGTATATAGGGTTTAGTTTAAGCTTTCAGTCTAAAAACACTTGTTTCTTCCAGGTTATGGCTCACAGCTCACCTCAGAGCATACTGGATGATGTTGCCATGGTAAGCAGAAATTCTGTAACTGATATACTTTCTACATTTTACTGAAGCTAAAAGTCAATTATGCAAAATAGCAAAAGTCCATAACAGAAAACACGTGTTAGATATGATTAAGCACAACATGCTAGCACAGGCATTATTTTGCAGTTACAGCAGCTAGGTAATTACTGACCCCTCTTCAGAACTTCTCAGTACTCAGAAATATGGAACAAAAATTTTTGTCCCTAATAATCAACAATAACAGAGCTGTATCAGAAATAAAAAAACTTTTATTCCTTCTAATTCTTATTAATAGATTTTTATTAGTGGTTTAGTGGGTCTTTTCCCAATTAATGAGCAAAAGGCGATTTTCTGTAGAAAAGTAAAAGCTCTTTTTTGCTTAGTTTTGGAAGAGACAAACAGTATGAAATAATGCTACTGTTCTACCATGTTTTCGTACACTGAAAGTGAATAAAAACTAATCCACTCTCTTCCTGTAAGGAAACTTGGAGGCAAAGTTGGTAGGAAACACATGTATAGTGCCAGATAGATTGTTTTTGGTGTGACTAGTAGGTGACTTGGGGAACTTCAGAGAGATGCTGTCTACACTAAAAGTTTGTACAGATTCAAGAAAAGCCTAGCTAATAAGTTCAGGGAAGAGGAATCCATTGAGCATTTATTTAACAAATATTCAAGAAAGTTCAAATGAAAATGAACAGAGATTAGGAGTAAATTTAAGTGAAGATATCACATTAGGAGTTAATTTAAGGGAAGATGTCCTGTTCTTATTTTGTTTCCAAGCCTGCCATTTCTCTGCCTCTTCCCAAACCACTTTTGGATACTAGCTTACTGGTACTTCTAAGTGCTCAACAGCTGCCTTATACAAGTGTGTAGTTAAGAGCCTGGTCAAGTCACTGATGCTGGACAGACAAACTTGCCAGATTTTCATTCGGTCCCTCTCTCAAAGACTTGTAGTGTGCTATGTCCATTTTCTTCTGATGTATCTACAATTAGTCTTTATAACTGGAATGCATAACCTAAAAAATAATCTATAAAATGTGTATTTCCTACAGGTACTAGATGAAGAAGCTGAAGTTTTCATAGTCAAAATGTGGAGGTTGTTGATATATGAGACAGAAGCAAAGAAGATTGGCCTAGTGAAATAAAGCACTGTCCTTGCTTCTAGGGTTCCATGTCAATTTTGGGCTTTTTTTTCTCCCATTGTTCAGAGACTTTGAATTCTCTCTGTTCTCAGAGACTTGAGACCTGTATTTTTTTATGTAGAAAATGTGAATTTTTTTGTCCTCTGCTCTGAGGCCCTTTTACCCTTCTCAATTAGTTATCAAATCCTGCATTGGTTCTCTTTATAATACATGAGGTACAATTACCGGTATGTTTTATAAGCTGCAGCTACTGTACATGCTATTTGGTAATTTTGTTATGTTACTCTGATTCTTGTAAATATTAAGAAAAAAAATCCCGTTTTGCAAAACATTTGCACTTAATGTGGAACTATATCAGTTACAGATGAAGACAAAGGATTTTACTGCAAGTTTATCAGTGTTTTTTTTGGGAGCATACTTCCCCTTTTTTATTTAAGAAATGATCAAAATACAATTTAAAAATAAGCGTCTTGAGCTGTTTTCACAGAACAGCTTTGTGTGTTAATTTGATCTCTTCATCTGACTGAAAAAGGAGTTCCTTCAAACTTCTCTTTCTAATGTGAACCAGTAGTACTCTTGGTATTTTGTTGCCTGTTAAGAGTTACTAATGAAGCTGGGAACCTAATCTCTTGCAGATGCTCTGCTTCTTTCCCAGAAAGTGCAAATCACAGGAAAATTTTTATTTGCTCAGTTAAAACAAGAGCAGGACCTAAATTCAGTAAGTGCTATGTGATGGTTTTTGGTTTTCTCTTCTGCTCAGTTTCATTTTAGCCCTACCTACTATCTCTTCTTTCTCCAAAATAATCAGATGGCTTTTTAAAGAAGAAACTATTTTTTAAAACTTTTTTTTTTTAGTATTTAGAAACAAAACAAAAAGCCCTGTTTGGATGCAACCGTCTCTTAAAAAAATAATAAAAAAACAAACCGTGTAAACTAAAACATAAGTTTTCAAACAAAGCTGAAATCTTGTTTTTATCCATACTGTTAAACTAGCCCTGACTTTTGTTTTCTACTGTACACAGTCTGTTGTCCACAAAAAGAGGGTAATATTTTCCTGCCTTGTTTGTATGTTTTTTTTTTTATAAATAGACTGATATGGTATAAATGATGACATGTACTGTAAACTGCATTTTTTTTATCTCATACCTGGGTAAGAAGTCAAATCTATAATGTGCTGTGAGCTGTTTTGATTGCAGGAGGACTGTGTTCCAGGGAGCAAACGGTCTCAAAGTTATTTTTAATTTTTGAAACAAAATTCTTAATAGCAAACAAATTAAGTAAAGGTGTTCCAGTATCTCTGTATTGTATTTAACTGAAGGATACAGGTTGACCTGTTCAGAAAACATAACTGTGACCTTGAGTTACTAGTCTTTGTATCTGGAGAGGACACTTGAAAACACTGTTCTTAACAATTGGGATCGTGTATAGGTTCCACCATGTAAATATTTCAGATATTAAAAATGTATATATTTGATTTAAGGGTTGATATTCTTTTGGAGTCTTATGCAGCATGCAATTGTATTTAACACTTAACTGAATCAAGTGTTCCCAAATGGGGGGGTGGGGGGGGGTGGGGGGAGTTTAAAACTACCTCCTGCTTATATCAGGTGACTAGCAGCCTGCAAATTTAGATGTGATCCCAGTATGTTCTTTCTCATCCCTGTGATACTACACTACACATCACCAAATGTTTTTTTTTTAACTTGAAGTGTCATGCTCAGATGTTATTTTCATGTTGTGAGTTTGCGTGAGAATGTTTTTGTTTGCATGCTTACATGTTGCAATCTTCCTATTTTTTTCTGCAACTTGATGGTTGCAACCCTATGAAATTACTTCCCTGTTCTATCTATAAAGTTCTGCATCATCATTTACCAAAAAGTTTTCAAATTCTAAATAAATTCAAAGCTTGCTCTGTTTGTAGCAAATACAGAGACAAGGGAGAGTGAACTTCATGAGTGCCTTTTGACCTGGTAAATGGCATTCTCTCATGAGTAGTAGTTAAATCAAATTTGACAAATGCATTGTAATGCCACTGTGTGACAGATTGCCCAACATCCTCATCTGGATTCTCCAGAGAACGCTCAAATTGTGAAACTTCAGTTTATTGCTGCCCTAAACTAAAGCTGTGTGTGCAATGGACATAAGCTTGTACTCTCCTAAGGAGACTGAAGGTGCCTGGATGAGAAAGACATGTAAACTCTAACCTGGAGTGTTAAATATCTAGGTAAATAAGTATATAGAATCGTGATATCAAAAAATCAGTTTTGTGGAAGTTCAGGTTTTTTTCAGTAGTGGAAGAAGAAAATGTTCACTAGACGAACTCTGGTTTGGCTTATCAGCTTTTCCTCTTTCAGAATGCAAGTATAAAGTCACTTCTTTTACCTCTTACTGAAAGTTTTGTTCTTAAGTCTCAGTGATTTTGTGTCAGTGTTGCTGGGGAGTATAACACAAGTTATGTACTGGTGAGGTTCTTAGTGTAGAAAGTAACTTCTGTTTGTTAACCTTTAACATGTGGTAACAATTATTTCAAGATAAATTTGGAAAATCTGGGGTAGAAAAAGCCTTTTTGCCAGTATTACCACACTTCACTGTCTGGATGTATGATTTAATACACAGTCTGTGTTACATTAGACACAGACCAAGAGTGTGCTCAGAATGGGATACAGGAGTAGAGATGTTGCCACCAGGTACTTACTTAGTGCATCATGCCATAGTACAATCCATACCATGAGGGAAAGTTGCTCCAGAAGTTCCACACACTGTAATGAAAATAGACCAGTAATTACACAACAGAACTGGATATACTTATTTATCTGGACCTTACAGTGGAATAGGGCTTTAAAAGTTGACATAACACATGCTCTTATTCTCCTGATAATCATTTTGTGTAACTGCCATTCAGTCTTTGGAATATGTCAATACAAAATCTAAAGTATCATTTTTCTTCCTTAATATGTACTGAAAAGAAATGGGAAACAAGGAGCAAGCAAGACCCATTACAAAAAAATATATATTTTTGTATTCTCTTTTAAGTTGGTGAGAGTCTTATTTTGTTCTTAGAGTATTTAACTTGCTCACCTGCTGATATGGTCTTTCTAATCTTGGCTATTTCCTTCATTCTCTTTAGGCAGGAAGTTGTACTAAAAATAATTATCTGGCTAGATGGTAATGGCTCTAAATGTGGGCAGGGGAAAGGCCCTAAACAGCGAGTTTAGCTTCTTACTGAATTCCTGTGTCTTATGCTTTCCTATTACTGAGAGGGAATTAGATTTTTCATGTTCTTATTAAACAGGGTTGCTAGATAGATGCTCGCATGAGAAGTATTTTGGAAAGTGGATACACTGAAAACTGCAAGCTGTTGGGTTTTATATTACAATTGAGTCATACTTGTTCATATTCTGTACCTTATCTGGTGTAGGAACATTGAGTACAGAATTAAAACTTAGTACACAGTCATGCAGTGTGAGCAGTATAAAGTATTGTTTAATAGACATTTCATCATAGATCAAACTGATACTAATAATAGAAAATAGTTTGGTACAGCTGTATGCCCGTGTTTGGTTGGTTGAGTTTTTTGTTTGGCTGTTTCTTCCTTTTAAATTACAAGTAGTTTTATTAATGGTTAGACATCACTTTCAGTCTAAAAATGGCTTCTTTTAAATGCATTTCATATTTCTGTGAGCTATTGAAAGTCTGTATTTGTGTTGCAATGCCTACATCAAACCTTTTAGGTGCAATAGTCTGTCCTACTTAATTTTACCATAGATTTTCCTGTAGTGTAGTTAAATACTAAAATACAATACTGTTGTAAACATGCAGAATTGCGCAGCCCCTCAGATTTGACGTTTTTCATATTCCGAGTGGTTATATGTATCATAGCATTGGCTATATGTTACTAACCCAATTGATTATGCACTTGAAAAGGAATTGTGGATGATGCTTCAAATATGGATAGCAAGGTAAGTTTCAAATTTAGAATTGACTTTTTTGTTTTTTCGACTAACCAGTCACAGGTCTACTTAGAGGCTTCTTGAAAAAATAACCATGTTGACTTTTAATACTGTTTTCGTTTTGAAATATAAATTTCCCTTTAGGTTACTTTCTTAACGCCTTTTTTGTGGGACCATTTTAAAACAGGCTTACTGGCATATGTATGACTTGTATTCAAAAGAGCCGAGAAGTGTATTTTCTCATAAAACCTCTATCTGGTACCAGGTTAAAAAGGTCAAGCTGCATTTTCTTTGCACGATTCCTCGCGGCTGGTCTCGGCGAGTGTTCACTCGGCTATGCAGCCAGCCTCTCCCAGCCGCGGCCTTTCTTCGCTTCCCACCCGCGTTTCTCGGTTTTCGGCACCTGCTGACGGCAAAGCTCCGGGCATGTTCTCCGCGAGGCGCCCCGCCGTGCGCTCGGCTCGCCGGGTTACCGGGGCCGGCCGCGGGTCCCGCCCCGCCCGTCGGAAGTGAGGCGCGGGGGGCGGGGCGCGGCCCGGAAGCGAGCGGGGCCGGCTGCGGGCGGCGAGGAGCGGTGGCGGAGCGCGGGCAGCGCTGCCGTGCAGGTCCGTCTGTCGGCGGGGCGGGCGAGGGCGCCGGGCCGCGCTGGGGGCCGGGCGCGCTGTGCCACCGGGGGCGGCCCGGGCCCGGTGTTTGGGCGAGCCCTGCGGCACACGCCCGCGGGCCGGGGAGGGTCCCTGCCGCTGCCCGCAGCGCCGGGCCTGGGCGGCTGCCGACACCGAGCGGGGTCGGGCCGGGGCCTGAGCCGCAGCCGCAGCGCCGCGGAGGCCCCCAGGGGCTGGGACCGCTGCCCCGGCCCGAGGCAGGGCTGAGCATGGGGCGGGCGGGGGTGCCCCCAGAGCCGTGGCAGCTACTTCTTGCTGTCACTTGAAGGAGAAAGCACGGGTTAACCGCGCCGCGTTTGTCTGATCGATGCTTGCTTTGCTTTCTCTTCTGAGAGCAGCTTGCTTGGCGTGTCGCCTCTGTTTATTAGGCTAAATGTAAGCGCATGACAGCGACAGTTGTAACTCCTGACCTAGGAAAGCCAAAGGAAGCAAGGAAAAACTTTTTTAGACAGGCTGTTTTAACATTAACAGCTTCATTAGAAAAAAAAAAAACATATCTTGGTGAGTCCCTTTTCAGGTAAAACAAGAAAAGTTTTAGTTTGTGTCTGTTTATGCACAGTTCATTTATAAATTTCATTCTTTCATAGTTATGTTTCAAATAAAAATTTCATTTATTTAGAAATAGAAAATAAAGTTGTTTGGGAAGATGTCCTGAATCCATTTTCAAAAGAAACTGTTTTAACAAACCATAAATTTTGAGGTCTGTCATTCAAACTTTGTGCAACTCTTCCATTAGTTACTCCTCCCTGTCTTCTGATTCTCTCTGCTCATCAGTAGCTGAGGTTTTTTTGTTTGGTGGATTTGTGCTGACTTTCTTTACCAGTCTATAAGTAGGATTTTGTGGTTGGTGTTTCATTTTGGTTTTCTCTATTAATTTAATTAGAGTTTTAACATGCTGCTGTGTGAAAAATCTCATTCTGATAGTCCACATCTCGTTGAAAATTTTCAGTTTTTTCCATTGTGGTTGTCCTGTCACTTAGAATTACTACCAGTAGCAGCCTTAAAACAACACTGTTTTCATTCTGTAGCCCAACCAAAGACTTAGAGTAAAATTGTAAAAGTAGGAGCAATGTAATTAATATTAATTTTCATCTAATTTTACATTTAAATTATATTTTAAATTAGATATGCCTTATTTTTAATGGCAAATCTGGAATTGAACTATTGTAGTGAATACTATGTTCACTTTCTTTTTCCAAACAGTTTGCATGCTCCCAGTAGACTTGTTAAATTGGTGTGGCTTCCTATTGGATCTTCAGTAAGTTAGCTGCAAAAGTTAGTAAGCACTGTGCCCTGGTCTTGTTAGGTGCATATTTATTCATAAATAGATGAACAACGTCTGTTCTGTTTATGAAAATAGGCTTAGCTCTCTCCTTAAGGATGATGCTGTCTTGCAGCACTTGTGTCTTGCTGCTGCCAGAAGTGAGAGGCTTTGCTTTGTGATGTCCTCTGTTGTAAGAGTTTTTCAAGATCTCTCAATACATAAGCTGAGTATACTAAAGCAACAGAAAAATATTCTTGTTTTTGTTTCCTGGATTTAGTTTCTTCCATTTTAGTAAATAAAATTACTATAAAGATTTCTGGTGAGTGCTGGAATTCACACAGGGTAGGAGCCACTTGGGATGGACTGGCACTCCACCCTTGAGGTGTATTCGTTATTTATTTTTTATGTGACCAAGTCTGTGATTTGTCTAGGCCTGCTCATTTTCTCTTAAAATTATGGGGCTCTTTCCCCATTTAGTTAGGTCAGTCAGACTTCTTTCCCCTGTATTGCCGTATCCTCATTTGTTATGGAACATACAGTTCACATAGGAAAATTTTCTCATCTGACTTTCTTATGGAAGAACATATAAAGCTGTTACATACATGTAGCACGTAGATGTAGCTGGTACATAAAGGGAACTGAATGCATGTTAGTTGCTGAGGCTCAGCTGACATACTGTCTTGCATAGCACTAGGTCACTCTTGCAACATCACACTGTTAAGGATATGTCTAGATTTGAAATAGTCAAGTGTAACTCAGTCATCCTTGAAAAGTGCTGTTAAATTTATCAGCAGTCCAAAATAGAACAACTTGAAGCAATTGTGCTCTGCTGAGATAAAACATGGAAGTTGTACTGTGAGCAAGTACGCAATGCTTCTCATTTATTGCACAAGAAGGAATGAAGAACTGTATATATTATTAGTTTGTTGCTGACTGATTTCTGTAGCTGATGGACTAATTTGATAACACTTAGAGGCTCTTATTTTTGCTGGAAAATCCCTTATATGACCTCTTAGTAAACGTGATAGTTTGGTATCATGGTTAAATACAGAATTGTTGTCTTTGCTATATGTGAACTCCAGAAACTGTAGTAGGGAGGGGAGGGAAAAGCTGTTCATGTTAAGAACAAAGGCTTTTTACACATCTCTTTCCTTTCAGCATCTCAAGAAGAAAGGTCCATTTTGTGTGGAAATAAGTGATTCCCAGAGGACTGTCCCAATGACAGAGCTGTCTGCACATTTACCCCAGTTTCAGCATGGGCAGCTGACAGAAAACTTCCCTGATACCCACCTCAGCAACACCGTATGTAACAACAATTTTAGTACCTGGTAGCAGTTAAATGGGGATGAATAGTTTGTTTGGATTCATTTTATCTTTCTGAACTGTTGTGGTGATAAGCAGTGCCAAAAGAAATATGCTGCAAAATATATGATGTCCTAAATTCATTTTTATGTACAAATAAGACCTTCCCAGTTTAAAGTTGGTTGTTGGAGTGACCAAACCATCAAGGACTAAAAAAAAGGGTCAAACACTCTGGTATCAAACACTGACATTTACTGTATTTAGTGGGCTCTTGGTCTGCTTAGTTCACAGGTTTCTCAGTCAGAGTTAATTTTAGTCTAGGTAGAGCTTGAAGTCTGGGTTTTGTTACTGCTGTTGCTGGAGGACTGTTCCTATGCAGGAAGAACATCGGTCTTGTCTTACTTGTGAATAATTTTCGAGGTGCTATCCTGGTCATTGAGGGTTTGGGTGAGGAGGAACTCAAAACATGAAGTCTTATATGATTCTGAGCGCATACTTGTTGCTAAAACTATACCATTGTACCCTATGTATTTTGGAAAAATCAGGTTTAGATGCTCTACTTGGGTGTGGTGCTCAGGCTCTTAGACTTGTCACACTGTTCTTTGTTCCTGCAATAGCTCTTGAATATCAGGTTTCCTTGTGGCAAGGAAATGCTTTTGTGAGGCTGGGCCACTTGTGGGCATGTCTATAGCAGTAATTCAAGAGAATGTTCCGATTCCTGCTTGAAGTCTTCTGTACAATTAGCAGTTTAAATATAATTTTGAAAAATCCTCAGATAAGTACCATGCTATATCAATAAAAATATAAAACATTTGAAAAATTAAAACAGAAAAGTGAGAACTCTCCTACTGCATCCTTTATCCTTTTACTTCAGAGGGAATTAAAAATGTTTCTTTTCCTCTTGAACAGTTGAGAGATTAACTGGTATTGAACATTTCTGCCAGATTAAAAAAGGAGACCTCAGTAATAACCTGTGGGCTCACTGTCCTTGCAGATAACTTGGTGGTGCTCCTTACCAGCAAAGGGTTCTATGTTCTTCTCACTGACTGTACTGATGAATAACTGCTACTTGTGCTTTTCCTTTCCATGTTTAAGTAACTGTTGTTTTGATACTAAGTCATAATGATGTTGCTCCTCTTTCTACATCTACTTTGTTTCTGTACACACCTACAAAGGTCCTTTCCTGCTCAAGTATACTAGCTTCAGTGGCTAGCAAGTCAGCATGTGAAATCACTAAGTACTATAATTTGCCATCTCTTCTTCTAGTCACACACTAAGAGTTCAATCCAGTCTTCACTATCTGCCACTGCATAATGACCTTTTAACATTGGTGGTGTATGTGAGAACCGATGAAGTCCATGCCCACTGTCAGGCATGGTGGTCTGCTCCTGAAGGAAAAATCTGGATTTAATAGCTAAAAACTTCTTATCAAATATGTTATGTTTTTATCTCTTGGTCCAGGGACATTGGTCTGGGTTTGCTATTAACTATTTTCGTGATAGGGAAAGAAAACACTATCATTTGCTTTTGATATTGTTTATTCGCCTGAAAGCGCGTAGTTAGTAACTTACATTTGCTTACGGTGTTACAACAGGTGTTACTGACTTTTTAGCTTCAGAGTTTTCACTTTTAACTATGTCTGAGGAAAGTGAAGAATCTGTTCCTTTGCTTCCACTTCAGCAAGAGTCCATGGCCTCTGCTCTGTTTAATACTGATCAGGTAGGCTATAAGTGCACTTTGTTCTTTTAAGCAGTGGGGCACGCGCATGTCACTTTTAGCTACACTTTAGTAGCCTGAAAGGACAACTTATTTTCCAGCCTTAAGTGCAAATGAGAGAATAACTTGTGTAACTCTTGATGCTGATCTGGTTTTCATACGCTGTGTTTTCGTATGTAAAGGCCTTTTTTGATTGCATCTTTGTACCTGACTAGTGAAGGGAGTAAAATGATACATATTGGTCCAATTTCTTCCTGTTTTCTCTTTGTTTGATATAACAGGTTTTTGTAGTGGTGTGCTTAGTTGATCAACTTTTCCTTTGGATGTTTTTGTTTTGCTCTGTGAAGCTGTAGATTTTTAACTTATTTCAATATATTTCTGTTCCAGAGATGGGGTAAGTGCTCCCTCATGCAAGACTGTTATTAAAGCAGAGAAAAAGCAACACATTTG